GGGACGTTGAGATGCTTCCCATCACCAGCAAACCCCTTCTTGCACGGCAATCACCGAAAGGGGAAGCAGGTGCCCCGCTCATTGTGGCCCTGGGAGGAAAAGACCACTTTGCATCTTTTTTTTTTTTGCAGGAAGAGAGGAACAGAGGAGCTCACGGGGCTGCAGCGGGGACAAGGGCATTTGTGCACCCAACTTGGCACATCCAGTTTTTAAGCATAATTGTAGGTCTCTAGTGAGAGGAAAGGTAGTTTGGATTTGAAGCGTTGTGCTGCAGAAGAGGGGCTTTGCCCACATCCCTGCCTGCGACGGGGATGCAAACACAGCTGCTGCTGAGGTCAAGGCTTCCCAAAATGCGGCCTCTCCATCCCTGCGGGCAGGAACCGGCAGCAGCTCCTCCTCCACCACTGCCTCTCCCTAAATCCTCAGCTGAGTCACTTGAGGTCACATCCGAGCAGCCCCAATTGCTCCTGGAGGTACAAAACAGTTCCAGGAGGAGCCGGGATGGGGATGGGGACCACAACGCCGGGGTGTCCCCCACCCCATGCCCGGCCGGCTTCCGCGCAGAGCCCCAGGCGCTGAAAATCAGAGCCCTGCCGCACAGGACCTGCTGGCTCAGGAGGCGGCAGTTCTCAGAAACCAGCTTCAGGTGAAAGGAAGGGGGAGAAAAAAAAAAAAGAAAAGAAAAAAAAGAAAGAAAAAAAAAAAAGGAAGTCAAAGCAGTCTCACGCTGAGCAGAGATAAAAATACTGCTCCTCCTGTGGCCATGGCTGAAGACGTACGAGCTATGACACAGGCACCATGGGTTTTCAGCGGAAGGAGTCTTCCCGGCTCGTCTCGGCATGCCATCAATTTACGGGATGCACTGGATTTCATTAAAATGCTATAAAGCAACCAGCGCAAATGCAAATCCCATTTCCCTTCCCCTTCCTGTAAAAACATCTGGTCAACAGAAACGGCTTGGGACATTTCCGTTGCAAATCACAGTTTTCTTGGCGTTTAGGACTTGGCCATGGAAGAGACATTCGTGGCCGGGGCTCAGCTGATGAACAGGGCAGCTCCGAAACTCTGCAGGGCTTCCCTAAAACATGCAAACCTGTTTTGCCAGCTTTGGCTTAAATTTATGAAGGTGGAGAGGTCTCAGAGCTACCCTGTCCTACAAATTATATGAGACTATATGGTGTGGTAGAGGAGCCCTTAGTGCCTCCGTGGAAAGCATGGAGGACTGGCGAGTGTCACCCTCATACTAGACATCAGAGAATCCACCTGCTCTGCACACCTCGGACCATACCCAAGGTTTCACCAGTTTTCCTGTGCACATGTATATATACCCCTATATGTACGAGCATTATAGATACCCCAATATGCCCCTGCTCCAGGCGCTCCACACGTCAGGATGGCTCCACCACAGCGCTGGCTCCGGCCCCGGCACCCTCATGCCACGCAGCATCCTCACCTCACCCCGGTGCCGGTGGGTGTCACGGCATCCTCGCTCCCCTCCTCTCCCCAACACACCGGTACCCTCCAGCATGTCCCCAGGGTGGGAGTCCGGGTGGCATCAGGTGCCCTGAGCCCACCGGTGCCCTGCGGGATGCTGCGACCCGCTCCCGGGAGAGCTCTGTCTCCCATCGCCTCCAAACCCCTCTTCTGCGACAGCGTTTTTCCAGCGCTCGAGGGAGGAAGGAGCGATGCCAAAACCAACCCAGCGGCAGCTGCAAGCATGGGAAGCCCCGTCTCATCTGGCTGAAGCTCCCGCAAGAGCGGCACATCCCTTCGGGACGGGATGCCCAGGCCGGGCAGCGTCGCAGGGACTGCCGGCGGCTCCGGCACGGCTCGACCGCACTCACCCCTTCGCCCGGCGCAGCGCCGGCCGCAGGCACCCAAGCAGTAAATGGGATTAGGGCTCTTCAAAGCACCCTGCTGCCTTTGATGCCCGGCACGTTAGGGGATTAGGCTGAGAGGCCCCATTTGACATCACTGGGGGGAAAGTAGGGGGGAAAATAAGATAAAAGCTGCCCAAAGCAGAGGGAGGGAGCAGCAGGTGAGCGGCGGTGGGGCACGTGTGGGGACACCCCCCTTTCCCCATGGCCACCACGCTCCCAAGGTCACCGCAAGGCGCTGAATACCCGGGGACTTGGCTGGGTGCTGTAAGGCTGGGAGGCTGAGCCGAATTTCCATTTACATTGTATTATTTAAAGGGTAGAAAGGGAGAAGAGGAGGGTGCTTCTGGGGAGATCAACCAGGGATGAAAGCCCCCGAGGACAGTTTTTACAGTCACTTATTTAAAAACATTAATCTTTCATGCTGATCAATGGCATCTTTAAATCAGGAACAGATTCATGACACCGGGGGAAAGGCAGCGGCAAAGCCCTGTGAGCATCCCGGGGCTGGAGGATGGAGGGGAGGGGGCTCCGCACAGCCTTCCCTGGGGAGTTATTGGTTATTATTTAGTTATTTTAAAGGGGGGAAAAAAAAAAAAAGAAATACACCAACAAGCTGTTCTGTTCCCACTGCTCTGGGGTTTGCCCCCTTGCTGGGTTTGGGGAGTGGGACCCACCAGCACCGCGGGAGGCTTTCCACCGCCCCCAGGATTCAACCGCAGTTACTGGGAAAGGAGCTGGATTGATTCTGCTGTAAAGGAGACAAGATCTGGCCCCGGGCCCAGTTAATTACAAAGGAAGGACCCGCCCTGAGAATATTTACGCAGGAAGCAATTTACTCGGAGAGTTGCGAAATCCAGCGAGGAACATATTCCCCCTTCCACAGACCTGGCGGAGAAAGCCCTCTGCTCGGGGCCCGGGGGACCGCAGGGTCCCCCACCAGCCTCGCGGTGACGGGGACTCACCGGGAAATCTCCGCGGGATGCAGATTTGTTGCAAACGATAAAGACTAACGCCGCAGAGCGCTCGGGTGAACGCGCTAACCGTCTTGTTGGAAATGCCTCCCGCCCCTGGGTCAATGGGGAAGAACGTACTGTGCGCTGCGTTTGCTTCCCAAGGGGAGGGAAGGGGGGAAAAATAAAGAGAAAAGGGGAGGGGGGAAAAAAAAAAAAGGGGAAAAAGCAGTGTTTGGAAGCAGCAGGTCCCAGCGGCACACACACGGCACACAGCGGGGTCCCGGCCCCGTGCTCGTCCTGCGGGACACGGGTGCTGCTGCGGTGCGCCAGTGCCAGCGGTGCGACGGCTTTGCTCCCCGCGTTGTGCCCTTTGGGGCAAAAGGCTTGGCAGAAACGATGGCTCAGCTCCCCCCACGGCTCTGCTGGGTCACCGGGGATTTTACCTGGCGTAGAGGCAGCCAAATCCACTGCGGCAGCAATGTCCATGGGGAAAAAAAACAACACGCAGGGGCTTGGGTGCCCGAGGGACACGGGTGGGTGACCACGGAGAGGCAGGTTTGGACCCGACCACCAAAGCCCCCCCCGCCAAGCTGGGGCGCCCGGCCATCCCCGGGGAGGGCATCCCCTCGCTTCGCTTTTATTTTTGGCCAGCTTTTATTTGCAAAGCCCCGAGGGCAGGCGCGGGCAGCAGCCAGCGAGGATGCAGAGGAGCAACGCCGACAGCAGCCCCTGAAATAGCACCAGCCCAACGCCCCCTCCCCACCGGCAGGTTCCGACGTGCCCAGTGCCATCCAGGTGAGATGGAATCCAGACCAGGTCGGCGCCCAATGGTGCTGCCAGGCTGCTGGGACCGCACTCAAAGAGCCCCCAAAACGACGGAGTCGTTTGGAGTCAGACCTCCCCGTGCCCCGGGATGGGGACACGAGCTCCCACGGGGACAAACCCCTGCAAGCCCTGACACCATGGAGCAAAATTGGCTTTTACTTTTTCACAATTTTGGTGTTGCTTTGGTTGTTTGGTTTTTTGTTTTGTTTTGTTTTGTTTTGTTTTTTAAATATTTAATATTGGGGTGGTTTGACAGAAATAGCAGGAATTTAGCCAGCTGCTCCCTGGTCCTGCTGCTGCGGTGAGCGGCAAACACAGCCCCAAGGCAGGACAAGGCTCCGGCTCTACCCGAGGCTTCCTCCTCCCGAAGCACAAGTTAGTCATCAAAGTTAAGCCAGCACCAAAACCAAAAAAAAAAAAACAAAAAAAAAAAAAAAAAAAAAAAAAAAAAAAAGGAGAAAGAAAAGCCAGTCCATAATGCCTGCGTAAGACCTGCCATGCGGAGGAACTGTCTTTTTAAAGATTAAACGCCACGGCTCCCCCCACATCGCTTCCCGGTCACTCACATCCTGCATCATCTCCGCTCCAGCCGGCATCTGAGCACCACGGGAGCTCCCCGGGGTAGCCGGGGTCTGAATTTCTAGTCACAAAAATACTTATTAAAAAATACAATTAAACTCCCTTACAGGTCCCACGGGGAACAAGAGAAAGCGGCACAAAGCCTAATTTCTACTTTCCTTTTCCTTTCCCAGTTTGCCCAGGCAAGCAGATGCCCTGGCTGCTGAAGCCATGACACAGCGGGGACAGGGTGAATTTGGGGTTAGCCAGGCCCGGTGACCTCCCACCATTCTGAGACGGGTCCATGGGGCCGAGGACGAGCGGTGCAGGGGCCACCAACCCCCCCTCCTCAGCTCTGCACCGAGGGCAAGGCGGGAGCTCCGCTTCGAGCCAGAAAAGCCAGGCTGGGGGTCCCAGCGGGAAGAAACGCCATTGCATCTTGGGTGACTGCAATAATTAGCGTTTGTGCCACTCTTGGCATGTTCACGGCATCTTTCACACCCCCCCAGACGTGAGTCCACGGTGGTGGCTTGGCTCTCCTTCTCAGCGGTCTCAAATAAACAGGGTGCAGTCCCCCCGGCTGCAGCAGACGGAAAGCAGAGCCGTGACCCGGGCTTGCGCCCAGACGTCGCCCACGGTGAGAGAGACCTTCGCAACCGGGGATGCGCCGTGGCCCCACTCCTCCCTGTGGCACGTGCCGGCACCCTGGCATCATCCCCAACCGGCTGCCGAGGGACCCACAGCATCACCCGGTTCAAACGGGCAAGAGCCAGCAGCTCCTTACCTTGGGGGGGTCGAAGAGCTCCAGCACATAGTCCTCCCCGTCGGGCGTCCCCGCTCGCCGCAGCACCAGGCGGCAGCGCTGCCAGCGCGTCCCGCTGTCCAGAGAGGTCTCGTCCAACAGCCCGTACTTGAGGACCCCCTCCTTGCGCACCTCGGGGGGCTGCTCCCGTGACAGCACCCAGGGCAGGATGCGCTTGCCCAGTCCCGGCTTGAGACCCACCTCCGCCGCTGCCGCCG